AAGTTCATAAGAATAGAGAAGAATGGAAGTTACCAGGAGCTAGTGAGAGATTTTGTTCAAAGGATACAAAATTTCAGCTAAAAAAGGAAAAAGAACAATTGTACAGTATAGAAACTATACTTTTGTTGTCTTAAATTATACGTTGTCTCATCTAAGAAATTCTCTTTCATTATTATTATTATTATTTATTGGAAGGGTTAGAGGATCAAATCCACTGCCTTGGCAATACTATGCAAGTGTTTTCCCCCATTGAACTATATTCCCAGCCCTCATCTAAGATCAGGGAATCTGTGTTTTGAATAGAAGGCCCAGGTAATACTGACATCTCTAATCTATATAGGTTAATATTTCTTTAAAATTAAAAATGCTTGCTGGGCATGTTGTCTCAAGCATTTAATTCCAGCACTGAGGTGTGGAGCAGGTAGACCTCAGTGTTTGAGGCCAGTCTTGCCTGCTATCAAGTGCCAAACAGCCAGAGGTACATAGAGAGACCCTAAACAAACAAACAAATGATAAGGGCTAATGAACTACATTTTTAAAAGGAAGAAAGTGCCACATCAAATGTGGAAACACACATACTGAAAACTCTTTTCTTGGGGCCAGCAGGTACACAAGCCTGATAATCTAGTTCTATCCTGGGATGCACAGGTTGAAGGAGAGAACCAGTTCTTGCAAGTTGTCCTCTGACCTCTACACATACACCTGGCATTCATGCTTACACACATAGTCAGACAGTATTTTAAAAAACCCAAAACACTTTAAAATACTCTTCTTGGAAATTCATACAATGCACATTGACATACTAAGAACCCTATGCTGAATGAAAAATACTCAACTTCCTCAGAATTTCCCAAACTTATTTTTTCTCTGGAGGAACCCTGCCAAGATTCCTCACAACAGCAATGCTGTGGAGCAAAGAAACAGAACTCAGTTTGTATGCAGAATGATGAAGGAAACACCTAGAAAAGAAAGCAGTACTCCCCAGAACAAAGTCTAAAACCACCTTGGTGAAATGTAGTAAAAACAGAGTAGCCATGTGATCCCAGGGAGAGAGGACGCATGCCGCTAGTGTCCTCGGTAAGATAAGTCCTTATAAAAATATATAGATTAGTAGTTATGGTTGATAATTAAGACTGAGCTAGCAAATAAGAAATCCTAGTCATTGGCCAGCAGCACTGTAACTAATATAAGACTCTGTGTGTTATTTGGGGGGCCCTAACTCAGCAGCAGAACCCAGGCAGCTGGCGGAAAGAGTTATTGTTACAACGACCTACGATGCTCTGTTCTCCAAACAGATGTCCAGAGGCTGCCTCCCTCTCAAGTAACCCAAGGACGCTGTACTGAGATATTTGGTCTGCAGCACAATGTGGCAATAGCAACTGGCAGTGGGCAAGAGTGCCCAGAGTTCAAAGCATCTAGAAGCCAAAACCAGAGGGACAATGCCATATCATTATTGCTATTGTATGTTCTGCACATGATATTAACAGTTGCTTCTGAAAAAGAAAATCCCTCCTAGCACAAGTAGCCTCCAATAGTAAAAAAAAAAAAAAAAAAAAAAAAAAGTGCATGAAGATAGGAATGAAGGATTTCCCACCCTTTGGAGATGTGGAACACCTACCCAGGGGAGTTTCTGGGAAACTCCTAGGCAATACTGAACACCTCACTTCCTTTCTGGTAACAAGGTACAGGGGAGGGAAGCATGAGGGGACTAGACAAGTTAAGGCAAAGCCAGTATCCTGACAAACTGGTTTACGCACTGAATACTTCAAGAAGCCCATACTGCACCAATAGATTTATGTCCTTTCTTTCTAATACTAATTGCTTCTATACACCCCTTCTCAAGTTGGGGACACCTCTCCATCTACAGTGATTTCAACAGAGTTCATTGTGTGCTTTTCATGTGCGTCCATCATATACTTCACATGCTTTTTTTTTTCCTAGCTCAGTTATCCTAATAGTACAGTATTCACTCCTCTTACAAATGTTTCTGGGTGCCTATGCAGGCTCTAGGCACTGTGCTAAGCACTGGAGACACAGCCATGAAAACAAGAGCTCTCTCATTCCTACTTTGCCTTGGCTGTAAAGCAAATGAATTCCATATCCAGCCTGTCTGTACATTGGAATCCAATAGCTAGCAATGCACAGAGGTGGGAAAGGCTGACTCCAAACCCTTACGTTTTATAGTTGATCTCACAAAACAAGCCAAAATATCTGTATTTCAAATGTTCCAGTCTGTCTAGGTGTTAACAGAGTTAACAGTATGGCCTGTAACTGCAATAAGCTGTGATTAGAAGAGAGGCAAACGCAAGGATCTTTATTTCCCTGGGATACGAACCCCTGTGTGCTTGTTCCTCAAATAATCTGTGGATTCCCATAATGTGATTTTTAATCTTGAAAGGTTAATACCAACAATAGTCTTATCCCAATCAATGCAACCTTGCATGCCAATAAGCCAAAAGCAAAAATAAAAAAATAAAAAAAAAATTATGAGGTTGATTGGATTTGGAGTCTAGCCCTAAGAAAGCCAAGAATGTCTTAGCTAACATTGTCCTAATACCCCCAAGCATGTGGAATGTGTACCACTAGAGTCCACAAAATCACAAATAGACCATAAATGACCTCCGCCCATTTCAACCAGATTGAGGTATGTAAATTTCATATATATAGCTGATAGGATCTAGGGAAACACTGACTTGGGGACATGGGCACTTTAGTATTCAAAGACAGTGTAAGAGTCGCATTATGAAAACTTTATCAGCTTGGGACGGAATGGGACAAATTTTTTTTTTTTTTCCAGACAGGGTTTCTCTGTAACTTTGGAGTCTGTCCTGGAACTTGCTCTGTAGCCTGGAACTTACACAGATCCACCTGCCTCTGCCTCTTGAGTGTACCACCTACACTTGGCTGACAAAACATTTTTTAAAAATACATAAAAGCAAAAACCACATATTTTGAGGTCAGTCATACACTCACCAACACATGTTGGAAATATGTCCTCATTGTTGATCTGGACTTCAATCCAATCCATAAGCAGGTTCATGTACTGGGGAGCTGGCAGTGCAGTTGGTTTCTTATACTTAAGGTCATCCTGCCACCGATACTCATACTTGGGACCCCCTGACATCACCGGGCAGGTCCGCTCAGTGCAGAACTCACAGATGGTGCCATAGATGAGGTTGATTCGATTGAAGAAGTCCACTACGTGCACAGCCACCCAGTCATTCTGGTCCTCCCCACTGGGTAACTGCACAGCTGCTCTCAGGTCCACACCTGAATTGAGGGATGCCTGAGCTCGTTTATGCAGCTCAAACCTCTGTGTGCCAGGTTCAAATTTCCTCTTGGGCCGGAAGGTCTTGTCCTTGTTGAACACTTGCTTCAGGGCTATGGACATGGTCTCCTCCTTGTCTTCCTTCCTTTGGCAGGAAGCAAAAAGGCACTTGGGACTTTTCAGTGAGAGATCACAGCCCAATAGAGTTTTCCACTGCCAGCCCTCAGGCCCCAGTCTTGCAGCCTGTAGTTTTACTCAATTTCAAATGGTTCCTTCCATCTTCCTCTTAAATGATCTCCAAGGGAACCTCATGTTCCTTCCTAAAGACAGGAAAGAAAAGGGAACTTGTGAGTGCTCGCTTTGTGTGTAAGAACTAACAAAGGTTTAGGAAAATTTCCACCTTGCATTACTGGCTTTGTTTAGTGCCTCCAGGTCTCAGTATATGAATATGGAGGTTAAGCTATTGCCCTTCGGACTGCACTAGCACTGTGAGCTATGCAAACAACTAAGGAAGAAAAGATGCTACCCTCTTTTTTTTTTTTTTTTTTTTTTTTTTTTTGTGGTCCCTGTCAAATCTTTGCTGGTTCTTTTCTGTGTGATCCTATAAGCTAAGGGCTTTTCCAAGGAGTGTGTTGGCCAATGATTCAGTCCTACTGCATATCTACTCCTTTTTGGAGACTAATGAGTAAGTATAGATTGTCTCTGACTTCCCAAATAGAGATGTTGGGACCAGGTGGCTATCATACCAGATGGCTAAAAGTAACCAGGAGTCTGCATCAAAGTGATGAAAGTGGTCAGCTTAAACCTTGTATGAGTCATATGTAATGCAGCTGAGAAAGCTGGTCTGCAGGAGAGAGATTGAGGGAGGGGTATGAAGGGAACAAGAGAGGAGGGCAAAGAGGAGGAGGAGGAAAAAGAATAGGAGATGGAGGGAAAGGGAGAGGAGGAAGAGGAGGGAAGGAGGGAAAGGGAGAAGAGGAGGAAGAGGAGGGAAGGAGGCAGCTGTAACAGTGACTATTGAAACAGAGAGAAACAGACATGTGCCCAAGTTGCCATGGAGAGAAGAACACAAGGAAGAAGGAGGCGGTAAGAGGGGGAAAGACTCCTTTAGTTCCAGACAATCTAAGAAACGATCCCAACACTCCTGACACGTCTACCTTTGGGATACATTTGTTCTTCCAGGGTTGGTCAAATAAATTCTTGATTTTAATTCTGCTAATTTAAGTTAGTTGTTCCTTTGCAAGGAGCTCTAACTATGACAGCAGTTGTCACCTCTACAATGCACCATCCTTCATGTTCCTGTCTCTCCCACAGCCCGGTACTCACATCCCCTCTCTTCTCCCACCCTTTTCCTAAAAGATTTTTCCTTTGAATGCCACATCAGGGAAGTCGATCTCTTTTCTTCTTTTCTTGTTACAATAAGCATACTCTCCCTGCTCCCACAGAAAGATCCATGTGGAAAAGATCACATGACACCCTGCCTGAGATCTTCAATGAAGTCATACTCCAGGGTACTCTTGGACTATCAGCTACATGGATATCAAACTCTAGGGTGTGGGCAGGTGCAGTCTCTCTTTAAATGAAAACCTTCCTGGGGGGCTGGCCTATAAGCTTGGTGGCAGAGCACTTAACCAAAATGCATGAGGCAGTAGATTCAACTCCAGTGCCACAGAAAAAGACAGGGGGTGGGGGAGGAAGAGAGAGAGGGATGGAGGGAAGAATGGAGGGAGGAAGGGAGGATAGAAGGTGGGTTCCTTAAAGATTTAGTTTGCCTGAAAGAGCCTGAAGAAACCTGAACCCTTAAAAGGTCATTACCAAGATAAATGCATGAGTGAGAGGTTGGGAAGATAGAGAAGCAATGGTGAGACTTTGCTCTTCTTTTTTCCTCACAGTAACAGGTGGCTCCCTCCATTTAGCAAAGAAAATTGAATAGTAACAGGGGTTCCATCAACTCCCATGGTCCTTAGAGCCATCTGCTGATAATAAGGGTCCCATCAACTCCCATGGTCCTTAGAGTCATCCTCTTCCCCCAATACCATGACCCTCAGTACCTCTGATTCTGATGCTTGTACAGCCTGTAGTGTCTACTCTCATGGACACCATGTGCCAGGCTCTCACGGACACAGATCTGTCTGCCATCCCAGATGGAAACACATACGAACTTTCTCTTTGGTGCGGTAGTGCCACACACTCTTAGTCCCAGCACTTGGGAGGCAGAAGCAGGCAGATATCTATGAGTCTGAGGTCTACAGAGTAAGTTCAAGCAAAGCCAAGGCTACACAGAAAACCTGTCTCAAACCCCCACCCCAAAAGAACTTTCTCATTAAATCCTCCAAAGTTCCAAGTGATTGGCACAAACATGTCAAAAAAATAGCCAGACCTTCTGTTTTCTTTATTCCAGTGATACTTAAGTAACAGATTTCAAGATCTCAGTCTCTTTAACTAGAGGGACTTTTATCCTAAACTCTAATCAGGTTTAAAATCACTGTCTCGGGGCTGAGAGATGCATTACTGGTTAAGAATACTTTATAAGCAAACATGAAGTCCTGAGCTTAGATCCCCAGCATCCACTTAAAAATCAGGGTGTGACCAATTGCAAGAGCAACTCCACCTAGTGCTCCATGGGTGCGGAGGTTGTCGAGTAGGGTAGCAACAGGAGGACTGAAGGTCTGTGAGTGACTGATGGATACCAAGAGCTGACTTTTCCCTGTGGCCTGTGCAGAGGCATACGTGGGTGTGT